CTTGAGTTTTCAAGAAAATTTTCAAATTTGGCATATTTCTCTAAATAGGGCATTTGGTCTAATAAAATTCAAGGTTATTGACTCAAAGTGGACCTAATAACAAAGGTTAATGCTAGAAAACATTTTCGGGACAAATTTAGTCCACATTTAATCAAAACGAAATCCAAACGTCAAAATCATTTCTAATTTCAAACAAATTTCTGTTTTGGGTAGCCTCGTGAAGAATAAAATTTTGGTCCACTTTTTGGACGTAAACTCTACTAATGTTTTGTCCCAAATAGAGCTATACACACCCCTTAACTAAACATAAGTCAAATTGGATTCATGTTAACGTGAAAATCATTCAACATGTCTCATGCAAAGCTGGACAAATTTCCAAGTGCATTCGGTACAAGCAGTCCATTTTCTCTTCAATTTGTCCAAATTTTTCAACTACTCAAAAGCTACATTTTTACCCAAACAATACTTCACATATAGGTTAACATGTGTACAGCTCAAATAGTTCAAAACTTGTCAAAACCAAACCCCAAAATTCGCCCAAAAATTTGGAAATTTCCAGAATTTTTTTTTTCGGTCAAGGGGCATTTTTCTCTTTGATTTTTCAATGAAATTTCCCATTATACCAAAGCTGCATTTTCACCAAAACTACTCTAAACATATAGGTGAACATATACATGATTTAAATAGCTCAATAACTTCACAAAATCCAGCTCAAAAATACGGGTAACAAAAATGGAAGAAAATCAAGCCTGTTTGTGCGGCTATAGTAGAGCAGAAATTTGCTCCTCTTTTTGCTCAACCATTCTCAACTTATAACTCATACTTTAAGTCCATAACAATCACAACTAATTAGTCTATCCTCCCAACAAGCAATCCAGGTCATTACCTAAGCAAAAATTGCAAAACAACAACCAGTAACAAAGTTGGAAAATTGCTCCCTCATCAGGCCAGCACCCCATTTTCATTCTTAAAAATTTCCCCAACATTTAACCACCACAAAACACACATATAAACACATGAAACACCTCTAGCTTTATCAATCATTAGCTTAGAGGATCAACAACCCAACAAGTTTCACCAACGCAAGCTAAAATTTCAAGAACCAAAAAGCTGCAAAAATCTGAAATCCTGCTAAGTGCTAGGCGGAAGTTTTCGGGTTACCTTCAGGTGGTTGTTTACTAGCTAAATGAAGTGCCTAGTTCCCCAAAGTTTGCTCCTAGAATCAAAGAAGTCAGTCGGCACCCTTGCACTCTGTTTTTTTTTCCCCACTTGTCTGACCTATCACCGTAGCAGCACAGCAGCGATCGAAGATGAAGAGGGCTGGGGTTCTAGGGTTTTTGGTGAGTTTTGGGTGGTTCTGTGATTGGTGGAATGAAGAAAAAAAGGAAGCTAGTTTTTCTCCTTCACCCTGGTCCGAACAACCCAGCAGTAGTAGCAGCGGCAGGAGCAGTGAGTGTAGCAGCAGCAACAATGATCTTCTCCTTCCTCTTGCTCGATCGAGGCAGCAGCAAAGAGTGAAGGTTGATGCTGGAAATAGAAGGTGAAGGTAGGAGTTGAAGGTTGGTGAAGATGGAGGATCGGTGGAAGCTGTGGAAGAGCAGCGGCTCCTGTTTCTTTCTTGCACCCGAAGATCAGAATTTGGAGGGAAGATATGAACGTGAAAGTTGGGATAAGATGGGTTGAAAATGAAGGTAAGCTAAAGGTATAGATTTGTTGACTTTTGGGCCTGCCATTAAGGGTGAGGAAATTTTGAATTGAATCGCGTTTACGCGAGAGTTATCTATTGGTAGGAATTCCCCATATAACATTTCCTCAACTTAGTTGTATATTTTTATAACCTCTACACCCTACATTTCAACTTAGGGCTACATTGCACGTCAGTGCGCAAATATTCACCCTAATGCTTAGCCGAACGCGAACCGTCAAATAAATTTTTTAAAAAATTCATGTAATTTAAAATATAACATTTATATAAGTGAAAACATCATTAATAATATAAATATGCATTATTAAATATAAATACATATTATTTAATAATTTCAACATTTAAATAATATTTTGATTTTAATTTTCAGAAATTAATGCAATTTTGAGATCCTCACATCCTTCCCCCCTTAAAAGAATTTTGTTCTCAAAATTCTTACCTGTTCAAGCGAATAACTTTGGGTATTGGCCCTTCATGTCCTTCTCTACCTCCCAAGTTGCCTCCTCGACGTCGTAATTTCTCCACAAGACTTTGACTAAGGCAATATTCTTATTTCTCAATTCTTTAATTTCGCGGTCCAAAATCTTAACTGGTCGCTCCTCATAGGTCAAAGACTCGTCTACTTCAACTTCATCTAATTGAATCACATGAATTGGGTCGGGATGATATTTTTTGAGCATAGATACGTGGAAAACTTTATGAATCCTACTCATACTAGGAGGTAAATCCAATTGATAAGCCACTTTTCCTACTCGTTTAAGAATTTCAAAGGGTCCAATGTACCTCGGTTTTAATTTCTTTCCCTTCTTGGATACTACCCCTCCTTTCATAGGTTTCACTCTTAAAAAGACTTTGTCCCCTACGTCAAATTCCAAGTTTTTTCTTCGGTGATCTGCGTAACTCTTCTGCCGACTTTGAGCAGTCTGAAGTCTCTCCCTAACCAGTTTAACCTTCTCATAAGATTTCTCGATCCATGAAATAGCTGTCGGGTCTAAAACTCTCTTCTTTCCTATTTCATCCCAATGAATAGGGGATCGACAACTTCTACCATAAAGCGCCTCATACGGTGCCATTTGGATTGAAACCGATAACTGTTATTATAAGCAAACTCTGCCAACATCATGTACTGGCTCTAACTCCCTCCGAAATCTAATGTACAGGATCTTAACATGTCCTCTAGGATTTGTATGGTCCTCTCCGACTGTCCATCAGTTTGTGGATGATATGCAGTGCTCAACTTCAACTTAGTCCCCAAAGTCTTCTGAAATTTCTGCCAAAAGCGGGAAATGAATCTAGGGTCTCAATCGGAGACTATACTTACAGGAATCCCATGCAATCTCATAATTTCTTCTGTGTACAACTTGGCTAGTTTCTCCAGAGAGTAACTCATATTCACCGGTAAGAAATTTGCAGATTTAGTAAGTCTATCCACTATCACCCAAATCGCATCATGTCCCATTTGACTTCTAGGTAAACCCGTCACAAAATCTATGGTAATATGCTCCCATTTCCACTCAGGGATTTCTAAAGGTTGTAACAAACCAGAAGACTTTTGATGTTCTGCCTTAACCTGTTGACATACTAGGCAAGTTTGTACAAATTTCGTCACATCCCTTTTTAAGCCATCCCACTAATAAAGCCCTTTCACATCCTAATACATCTTGTTAACTCCAGGGTGAATAGTATACTTGGACCGATGTGACTCCTTTAGAATTTCTCTTTTCAAACCCTCTTCATTAGATACTACTATTCGATTTCTAAATCTCAAAATGCCTTCAGATCCTAGCTTAAAATCTAGGGTTTCCCCCCTTCTCACTTTCTCCAAATAACTTTGTACTACAGGATCCTTCCCTTGAGCCTCCTTAATTCTTTCTAACAAAGGGGATTTTAAGGATAGATTTCCAAACAAGATTTTCAACTTTTCTAAACGAGGATTCCAACCACTCGCTTCTTCTAACATATCCTTGAACCCTCCTACTTAGTGCATCTGCAACCACATTTGCTTTCTCAGGGTGATAATTGATTGAACAATTATAATCCTCAAGAAATTCTACCTAACGCCTTTGTCGCAAGTTCAACTTCTTTTGTGAAAACAAGTACTTAAAACTCTTATGGTCGGTGAATATCTCAAATGTCACCCCATACAAGTAATGTCTCAACTTCTTCAAAGCAAAAATAACAGCGGCTAACTCTAGGTCATGGGTCGCGTAATTTATCTCATGGGGTTTCAATTTCCTAGAAGCATAGGCCACAACTTTTCCCTTTTGCATTAGAACACAGCCTACCCTTCTTTAGAAGTATCGGAATATACTACATACCCATCAACTCCCTCGGGTAGGGCTAACACTGGAGCCGTAGTCAATCGCCTCTTCAATTCTTGAAAGCTCGCTTCACATTTAGGGCTCCAAATGAACTTATGATTTTTTTTAGTTAACTCCGTCATTGGCCCAGCAATTTTTGAGAAATCTTTTATAAAACGACGATAATAACCCGCTAATCCCAAGAAACTTCTAACTTCAGTTGGATTCTCTGGTTGTTTCCACAAAGTAACTGCCTCCACTTTAGTTGGATCCACTGCGATTCCATTCTTAGAATTTCTATGACCCAGAAAAGAAATTTCTTCCAGCCAAAATTCACACTTACTGAACTTAGCGTAAAGATTGTGTTCCCTCAACACTTGTAAAACTATCTCCAAATGCTTGGCGTGATCCTCTCGGGTCTTAGAATATACTAGAATATCATCTATGAATACCACCACAAATTGGTTCAGATATTTCTTAAAGATTCTCTGCATTAGATCCATGAAAGTAGCTGGAGCATTGGTTAACCCAAAGGACATTACCGCAAACTCAAAGTGCCCATATCTAGAATTAAAAGCAATCTTAGGTATGTCTTCCCTTTTAATCCTCAATTGATAGTACCCTTGTCTCAAATCTAACTTAGAGTACACCACCGATCCTTGTAATTGGTCAAATAATCCATCAATCAAGGGCAAAGAGTACTTATTCTTAATAATCACCTCATTCAAACCTCGATAGTCAATGCACAATCGCAAACCCCCGTCCTTTTTCTTTACAAACAAAACTGTAACTTCCCACGGTGAGTCATTTTCCTTAATAAAACCTCTTTCTAGTAGGTCCTGCAACTGGATCTTTAGTTCTTTCAACTCCGCAGGAGCCATTCTATAAGGAGTCTTTGAAATTGGGGCTACTCCTGGAACTAAGTCAATCTTAAACTCTATCTCCCTTTCAGGTGGCAAAGATGTTAATTCTTCCGGGAAGACATCGGAAAAATCTCACACGATTGGCACATCTTCTAATTTCACTTGGTCACTAGGGGCATTAATTAAGAAAGCTAAGAAACCCTGGGCTCCCTTGTGAAGCATTTTCCTAACTCGAATCCCTGAAATCGAAGCAGATGAAACTAATCTACCCCTTACATCTAACTTGAGAGTTGCCTCACTTGGGATGCAAAATTCCACCACTTTAGCTCTACAATTTAGCTTAGCATGGTGGTAAGACAAAAAGTCTATCCCTATAATCACATCATACCCCTTAAGGTCCAAACTCACCAAGTCAACTAGCATTTTTCGCTCCCCAATCCAAAATTCACACTCCTTATACACTAAACTAGTGAGCATGCTCTTATTATTTGTAGGAGTCCTAACTTCCAAATCATAGGGTAATCGTACAGGCTTTACATCAATTCCACACATAAAAGCAGGATTAACAAACGAGTGAGTCACACCGGGATCAATTAAAACCTTAGCTAATCGATGAAAGATTGGAAGTGTATATTCGACTACCTCCGAAGAGTTAGGTACAGGTTGATTATCTAGGGCATAAACCCTGGCCGGGACCTTTGGCCGACTCCCTCCAGAAGCAGTTTGCCTAGAACTTGTGGCACCTCCTTGACTTTTCCCATTCTCGGAAATCCTAGGACAATTAACAATTTGGTGCTCAGCACTTCCACACTTGAGGCACTTGCCATCCTTTCTCCAGCACTCATTTGCAGTATGATTGGCTTTTTCACAGTAACCACAGGTTATCTGAGAGGTTGACACTTGTACACCTTGTAGAGCACTCCTAGGGGGTCCCCTTCCACTTTGACCTCCTCTCACTCCAGATCCTCTCGCCCCAGAGCCTCTAGCTCCAGCACCCCTTGTTAAAGCACCTCTCGATGCACTAGAGATATTCACTACCCCAATTCCTCTGCCCATCTTAGGCGGTAGGACACTTGTAGAAATTGGGTCCCTGCTACCACTAGGGACATTCATTTTCCTAGCAAAAAATGATCTAGATTGGGCTCTAGCCATCTCAAACCTCTGAACTTTCTCTACGGCATCACTATACGTGTTAATTTGAGCAGTTGCTAGCCCCTCTTGAATCTTCACATTGAGCCCTTGCACAAACCTCCTAATGCGTCTTTGCTCAGTGGCTATCAGGTCAGGGCATATCGGGCTAATTTAGTGAAATTGGTCACATACTCTCCTACACTCATGGCCCCTTGTTTGCACTTAATAAAGTCATCCTCCCTTTTCTCTTGGACTAGAGGTGGAAGAAATTTGGCATTAAACTCACGGGTGAAGTTTGCCCAAGTACTAGGGGTACGGTCTCTATCCCACTTATCTTTCATTAAATTCCACCAAGACCGTGCAGCTCCCTCAAATTGAAATGACGCAAAAGTCACCTTCCGCGTCTCAGTGTAATCCAAGGTGGCAAAAATATCAGATATTCTCTCCCACCATCCCTCAGCTATTTCAGGCTCTGGCCCACCTTGAAACTTAGGCGGCCCAAACTTCAGGAACCTCTCCAAGGCCCTATCTTCAGTATCTACATGCCCACTAGGTTGTTGATGCACTGGTCCAGGACCTTGACGGTCCGTCAAACGCTCTAGCATTTCGATTATCCTATTAATAGTGGTGGCCATTTGATCTCCGCCCCCGCCCTCGGGTCCCCGATTTTGGTTCACTTCCGACGCTCTATCGCCCCCTTGATCAAAAAGGGGTTCAGCCCGTCTCCCTCGACCTCGACCTTGATTTCGGCCTCGGCCTCTACCACGGGGATCCATACCTAGTTATGCCTAATGCAAGATAAGAAGTAAGTATGCAGATATTTACGCAAAGTTTAAAGAGCAACGCAAGAAAATTACATAAAATTGAGAAACAAAGCAGAAAATTATGTCAAATGAAGATTAACTTGAGGGCGATAAAAATAACCACAACTAACACATATATTAACATTCTAAATTCCTACAATTAGCATTTCGTTGGGATTTTACAAAAATGTAGCACAAAGGTGCTACAAGGCTTTGTGCTACAAGGTGCAACCAGTCATTCATAATCAAAAGAAGTGCAACGCCATAAAAGCAAGTCATACAGTTACAAAAATACAATGGCCCAAGAGTTAGCACCATTCCAACCAATGTTTATAGATTACAAGTCAAAAGAGAGTTTAACTAAGTCTAGTCCTCAGCGGGACCATCAGATGGATTCCCCTCATCACGATCATCTTCTGGATCCTCCTCAGTACTAGGAGCTACCTCTAAGACCTCGTCTATCACCTCATCCACCAACATGGTAGCATCCGCTAGTATCCCAGAGGCTTGCTCACGAACCATGTCTCTCATCCTAGCCAGGCTGTCCCTCGCTCTCTGCAACTCCTCACGGTCTGCCTCAACCCTAGCTCTCTCTTCTATCACCCGTCCAGCCAGCTCTGTTACCCTATTCTGCAGATGAGTCACCATGGCACCTAACTCATCCACGTCCTGAATCAGGGCCAGGTTGGAATTCACCAACTGGCGACGCTCATCGTCTATAGCCAGAACTAACCGGTTGGGATAGGAGAAAGTCAACCTACAGTCACACCTAGGGACTCGAGTGGCGGGCGAGTACGGGAGGTGAGCTCCATCACCCAGAACTCGGTAAGAAATAGACCTAAGAGGCGGCGCGTGACCATTCACGTGCCCGTTACCATTAGCAGCATGTCCATTCCCGTTAGGGTTCTCCATACCTACAAAACAGTCAAAACTTTTAAAGTTAGACCTTAGCACCATTAACCTAATCAATTACACTTAAGGACACCTAAGCATCTCATTCCTATTCCTAGGAATAAAATACCTAACAATTCTCCCAAATACATTCTAACCTAATGCTCTGATACCACCTGTGGCGGCCCCACATCCCCCTAAGGCGAACCAAAGGGTTGGCGGATCGCCTACCTAATTCTAGCCAAGGCTCACTCACTCTAACAACTAATTTCACCAAACATAAATCGAAAATAAACCTTACTTCTCGAGCAAGCTAAGTATTTAAATAAATCATACAATTCAACTTATATAGCCCAAAAATACAATTCCAAGTACCCACGAAAACGTCGAGTTTAAAATACTTAATTTACAATTTACAGTTCCTAATCCAGGGCACAGAAGCACCACAGGATTCACATTTTCCCAAAGGCACAAAAACAATCATCCAAAAGATATTAAAGTATCTCCTAAAGTACAATTACAAAAGTGGGAATTCAAAATATAATATTTCTTTTCTAGTTCTCCAAGACTCCATGCATTTCAGAACCTGTCAAGGAAAACAAATTGGAAGGGATGAGCCAATAGCTCAGTGGTACCTCGTAACATGCAATTCACATAGAGCAATTTAACAAGTACAAATGGACAAGTAAGCAATTAACAATTTAGGAAAACGAAATAACATGACAAGAAAAGGATACGGGGCTCTCAGGAGCCAAAGTCCTCACGCTTGATCAGGTAATTTATAGTAGTTGACACTCCATCGACTTTCACTACCTAATCTCCATGTAGACATTTTTCCTAATCTACACGTCTCCTAGCAACGACTTCCCCCTTATTTTCGGGCCCGACTCCAACACGAATTTTGCAAGCACTTTTACCAAGACGACAGAGAGGTACCTCCCACTCTAATAGAGTGTGGTACGTGCATCCGTTTGGTTTATTTAGTTGATGAGACCACGCTCCAATCGACCTTGCAAAACACTTGTACTTGTGGCATTTCACGCAATCACATAGCATATAACATTTCATGATATCTCTAGCAAGTACTTTTAACAAGTAGTTCAACTAGCAGTTAAACACGATTCATGCAAGAGACACTCACCTCAAGTGAAGAGTCTAGAATTCCAAACTTTGATCGAAATTGTGCTCTTCACCAACTCCTAAAATCATACAAATAATTCACATAAATTTCCACTTTTGAGTTGGCGAATTTAACTCGAGTCAACTAGCATTTAATTTCACTCAAAAATCCCAAACTAGCATTAATCGTTCTCTCAAAGTGAAATCCACAAATTTCGAGTGAAATTAAATTTTGAGATTTCTTTAAAACCAAAAAGTTGCTAAATTCGTCAAATATTCCAATAATCAAGTTCGAGAGCCATATAAGCAATTAACACCACTTTGGTGTCACAAGTTGAGAAAAATTACATTTAACCATTTAAAGGAATTTTCCCTTCTAATTTTTCCTAAAAATATCTTGGGAAATTCCTTTAAGAGGAAATCATATAAACCAAGTAAAACTAGTCGTTGGAATTTCTATAAAATAGAAACTCCTTAAGTTTGCCAAATTCCATTGACCAACTTGGTTCAAGAATTTTCATGAAGATAAAAACTTGAGTTTTCAAGAAAATTTCCAAATTTGGCATATTTCTCTAAATAGGGCATTTGGTCTAATAAAATTCAAGGTTATTGACTCAAAGTGGACCTAATAACAAAGGTTAATGCTAGAAAACATTTTCGGGACAAATTTAGTCCACATTTAATCAAAACGAAATCCAAACGTCAAAATCATTTCTAATTTCAAACAAATTTCTGTTTTGGGTAGCCTCGTGAAGAATAAAATTTTGGTCCACTTTTTGGACGTAAACTCTACTAATGTTTTGTCCCAAATAGAGCTATACACACCCCTTAACTAAACATAAGTCAAATTGGATTCATGTTAACGTGAAAATCATTCAACATGTCTCATGCAAAGCTGGACAAATTTCCAAGTGCATTCGGTACAAGCAGTCCATTTTCTCTTCAATTTGTCCAAATTTTTCAACTACTCAAAAGCTACATTTTTACCCAAACAATACTTCACACATAGGTTAACATGTGTACAGCTCAAATAGTTCAAAACTTGTCAAAACCAAACCCCAAAATTCGCCCAAAAATCTGGAAATTTCCAGAGTTTTTTTTTTTCGGACAGCTCAATGGGTATTTTTCTCTTTGATTTTTCAATGAAATTTCCCATTGTACCAAAGCTGCATTTTCACCAAAACTACTCTACACATATAGGTGAACATATACATGATTTAAATAGCTCAATAACTTCACAAAATCCAGCTCAAAAATTCGGGTAAAAAAAATGGAAGAAAATCAAGCCTGTTTGTGCGGCTATAGCAGAGCAGAAATTTGCTCCTCTTTTTGCTCAACCATTCTTAACTTATAACTCATACTTTAAGTCCATAACAATCACAACTAATTAGTCTATCCTCCCAACAAGCAATCCAGTTCATTACCTAAGCAAAAATTGCAAAACAACAACCAGTAACAAAGCTGGAAAATTGCTCCCTCATCCGGCCAGCACCCCATTTTCATTCTTAAAAATTTCCCCAACATTTAACCACCACAAAACACACATATAAACACATAAAACACCTCTAGCTTCATCAATCATTAGCTTAGAGGATCAGCAACCCAACAAGTTTCACCAACGCAAGCTAAAATTTCAAGAACCAAAAAGCTGCAAAAATCTGAAATCCTGCTAAGTGCTAGGCGGAAGTTTTCGGGTTACCTTCAGGTGGTTGTTTACTAGCTAAATAAAGTGCCTAGTTCCCCAAGTTTGCTCCTAGAATCAAAGAAGTTAGTCGGCACCCTTGCACTCTGTTTTTTTTTTTCCCGCTTGTCTGACCTGTCACCGTAGCAGCACAGCAGCGACCGAAGATGAAGAGGGCTAGGGTTCTAGGGTTTTTGGTGAGCTTGGGGTGGTTCTATGGTTGGTGGAAGGAAGAAAAAAAGGAAGCTGGTTTTTCTCCTTCACCCTGGTCCGAACAACCCAGTAGTAGTAGCAGCGGCAGGAGCAGCGAGAGTAGCAGCAACAACAACGATCTTCTCCTTCCTCTTGCTCGATCGAGGCAGCAGTAAAGAGTGAAGGTTGATGCTGGAAATGGAAGGTGAAGGTAGGAGTTGAAGGTTGGTGAAGATGGAGGATCGGTGGAAGCTATGGAAAAGCAGCGTCTCCTGTTTCTTTCTTGCACCCGAAGATCAGAATTTGGAGGGAAGATATGAATGTGAAAGTTGGGATAAGATGGGTTGAAAATGAAGGTAAGCTAAAGGTATAGGTTTGTTGACTTTTGGGCCTGCCATTAAGGGTGGGGAAATTTTGAATTGAATCGCGTTTACGCGCGAGAATTTTATCTACTGGTAGGAATTCCCCATATAACATTTCCTCAGCTTAGTTGTACATTTTTATAACCTCTATACCCTACATTTTAATTTAGGGCTACATTGCGCGTCGGTGCGCAAATATTCACCCTAATGCGTGGCCGAACGCGAACCGTCAAATAAATTTTTTAAAAAATTCATGTAATTTAAAATATAACATTTATATAAGTGAAAACATCATTAATAATATAAATATGCATTATTAAATATAAATACATATTATTTAATAATTTCAACATTTAAATAATATTTTGATTTTAATTTTCAGAAATTAATGCAATTTTGAGATCCTCACAATCCGAAATTTGTGCTGGAAAATAAGCTGAAAAGTTGTGTTAAAAATCTACAAGTTACAAAGAAATTTGCATAGCCACAACAGAGATCCGTGACCTGGATCTGCGATATGCACCTTACAGATCGATTCCCCTACTTCTTATGAAGTTGAAATGCAAGCTTCAGAGATCCATGAGGTATGGCTCACATTTCATATTCATGTTTTTCCTCAAACTATTGAATTTGGAACTTAGAATGAGATCTATATGAGGCATGTTCCATGTTTTCTTCATTGAGGTTCTTGTTTCTGAATTTCTTCAAGTTTAGCCTGATTTCAAGAC